GTGGGGGGGGGGGGGGGGGGGGGCTAAAAATTAGGATATTTTCTTATGCTTTGGTCTGCAAATTTGCTTTATTTTCCATAATTTTTTATGTCTGATATTGATTTTGAGCTTCCTATTGAAGAAAGTTATGATTTTTGAGAGTAAAAAGTCTGATTTGTGGCGAAGAGTTGAATTTTCACCTTTTGATAGTTAGGTTTGTTTGTGTTTATCTTTTATTTTGATTATTGAGGGAGAAAAGGGTCTGATTTTTGGCAAAAGATTTGAATCTTTACTTTTGATTTCTAGGGTTTGGACTTTGGTTCCCCCTTGCTTTATACTATTGATTTCGGAGCCGCTATAAACAGATTTTGGTGCTTTTTTTTGTTGGTTTCTCTGCTTTTCAGTTTACTTTCTTTTAATGGAGATATATAATTGTTTTAGAATTTTCCTTTACAGATTATGTGTATATATATTCAAGTCCTTTTCCCTTATCTGAAATTCGAGCTTAATTCTGTGCAGCAAATTGATGGATAAATATTAAAACTGGAACTTGATTCTTTCATGTGCAGAGGGTGGTTCCACTTAATACGTGGATCCTAATCTCCAATTTCAAGCTTTCGTACAACATGCTTCGACGTCCTGATGGTACCTTTAACCGTGATTTGGCAGAGTTCCTTGAACGAAAAGTCCCCCCGAATGCCAATCCGGTGGACGGGGTTTACTCTTTTGATGTTCTGGATCGTTCAACGAAACTTCTTAACCGGGTTTATTTAGCTGCCCCTGAAAATGAGGCTAAATTTGGAATTGAAGAAGAACTAGAAAAGCCCTTGAGTAGTACTGAGGTTGTTCCAGTAATCATATATTTCCATGGGGGAAGCTTCACTCATTCCTCCGCCAACAGTGCTATCTATGACATGTTTTGTCGTCGCCTTGTTAGCATTTGCAATGCTGCTGTGGTATCGGTGAATTATCGTCGCTCACCAGAACATAGGTATCCATGTGCGTATGATGACGGATGGACAGCTCTTAAGTGGGTTAACTCAAGACCATGGCTAAGGAGTGGGAAGGATTTGAAGGTTCATGTATATTTGGTGGGGGATAGTTCGGGGGGAAATATTGCACACCATGTGGCGGTGCGGGCTGCGGACGAGGGAGTTGAGGTATTGGGTAACATTCTTCTTCATCCGATGTTTGGTGGCCAAGAGAGGAAGGATTCAGAGAAAAGATTGGATGGGAAATACTTTGTCACAGTTCAAGACAGGGATTGGTACTGGAGAGCATATTTACCCGAAGGAGAAGATAGGGACCATCCAGCGTGTAATATTTTCGGCC